CGGAAGCCGGGTGGGCATCCGCCCTGCGAGCAGGGCCGGGTCGGGGGTCACTCACAGGGCTGGGCTGGGCCGGGCCTCTCCCTCTCCGCCTCTGCATCGTCACCGTCCCGTCCTCGGCCGCCACCGCCTCGGGCTGCTCACTTGGTCCCGCGGCACCTATTTCTAAGAAGAAGAAAGTTACTTCCCCTGCAAAACCTTTATCCACCCCTTTCTGACCCTTCCCCACAAAATTAAGTACGGCCTCCTCTGTGTTTCATAAAGTCTTTCTCCTTCTTGTCTTCACTACATCCAAATGCACCACTGTCACCTTCTCATGGAGGGAGTCCCCGACCACTCTGTTAAACTCACAGGTCGACCCTGCTCCACCACCCCTATCCTCTTCCCTTCTTGACTTTTCTCCATAGTGAGCTCTGCAAGAGCAGCGATTTCTGTCTGTCCACTGCTGTGTCCTCGGCCCCTAGAACCACATCTGGCCCTACTAGGTGCTTGATCAGTGTTTGTTGACTGCATGAATAAATCACTTTTTGTGCCATCAAGGGGTATTCAGATAACAGTGTTCTAGGCTCTGGGGAAATCACAGTGAAAAGTTTCTGCCTTCATGGAGTTCCTATTCTAGAAAAGCACTGTCTACTAGAACTTCCCACAATGACAAAAATATCCTGAGCTATTTTAATACAATAGTCACTGGCCACATGAGGAAGTAAATTTTTTATTTTTTTCCTTTTAGTTATTGACACATAATAATTGTACATATTTATATGGTACAGTGTGATTTTTGGTACATGTATACAATGTATAATAATCAATTTACATATATACAATGTATAATAATCAATTTAGGGTACTTAGCATATTCATCACCTCAGACATTTATTATTTCTTTGTGGTAAGAACATTAAAAATCCGGGCCGGCCCGGTGGCACACTGCTACAGTGCGCCGCTTGGGAAGCGCGGCGGCGCTCCCGCCGAGGGTTCGGATCCCACATACAGACTGGCTGCTCACTGGCTGAGCGAGGTGCGGGCGCAACGCCGAGGGCTGCGATCCCGTTGCCGGTCCCGGTCTGGTACGGGCACGACACTGAGGGTTGCCATCCGTTGCCGGTCACGAAAAAAGACAAAAAGGAAAAAAAAAGAACATTAAAAATCCTCTCTTCCAGCTATTTTGGAATATACAATAAATTATTGCTAACTGCACTTACCCTGCTGTACAGTGAAAGGCTAGAACTTATTACTCCTATCAAAGCATAACTTTGGACCCACTGACCAACCTCTCCCTGTCCTCCCCTACCCACTACCTTTCCCAGTCTCTGGCAGCCTCACTTCTACTCTGCGTCTACGAGATTGACGTTTTTAGATTCCACATACAAGTATTAATTGCAGTTCAAAGAGTCACGTGTGGCTAGTGGCTACTGTACAGTTCTAGAGAGAGAAACAGTAAACAAGTAGGTAGATACTTCCTGCTCCTTTAACCACAAGATATATAAATATAATGTTAGCTATTGAAAGACTATGAAGGAAGCAAAGCAGGGTGAGGAAATAGAGAATGGCTGGGAGAGGGGTTATTTTACACAGTAGCGGTGGTCAGGAAAGCCTCTCTGTGGCAGGTGACTTTTCAATGGCAACCTGAGACCTGAGCTCTGGGGGTGGAATGTTCTGGTGGAGGCCCTGGGATAGAAGTGAGCTCCTGTTGGAGCAGCTGGAGGGGGATGAGCTGCCAGAGGTCGGAGAAGGAACATGGTGGCTGTTATAAGGGGATGGTGTTCACTGTGGTGGGAAGTGAGAGAAGGCTTCATGCACCCATTCTTATTTTAGGACATCCTTCTGTTGCTCCCAAGAGAAAGGAAAGGGGAGACCATAGGAGGTGGTCATGGGGACCCAGGCTGGAGGTGATGGAAGCTCAGACAAGGGAGCGAGAGGGGCAAGTGAGAGGAGAGAGGGGCAAGTGAGAGGAGGGCCTGGCACTAGATCTGGATGGCAATGGAGTGATCGTGGGCGGTGAGCCATGGTGGCATCCTGGAGATGTGGAGGGATGGCAGAGATGATGGCGCCTCCGGAGGGGCGGGGCATGTTTGAGAGGCCACATTCAGAGTGTGAAGTTCAGTGGGAAGATGGAGCTGGAGCCAGTTGGGGTGTGGTCAACATAAAGACACAGTGGCCTCTGCTCTGCTTTGCCCATGGCGTCACCTCACACTGCCCCCGAGGGGCTCCCACCCTGCTGCTGACGAAGCTGCCCAGCCTGAAAATGCTGAGATAAAAGACCCACCTGCACATCTGCCCATGCATGTAGATGCTTACAATGACCCGGGCCCTCAGTTCCCCAGTCTGGGTTCTTACCACCTAACAAGCCAGCTGTTCCTGTGCTCTCAAATTCATACTTGTTCAGTGCAGTTCCAATCAAAATTCTAATAGGACTTTATTTTGTAGATAATTCTGATTTATGAGAATTGATTTAATAGAATAGATGACCAAAATAACTAAGAACTGTTTTGCAAAAGAAGATTAATGAGGAGGAACTCACTCAACTAGATTTTAAAATGTATTCTGAGAATAGAAAATTTTTTCAAAGCAATGCATACATGCAAGGCTCAAAAGCTAGATCAGACACACAAGATTAGATAACTTAGTAATGACCCTAGTAGATGTAAAAACTTAGTGTATGATAAAGGTGGTTTCTTGCAAACTGATAAGAAAAGATAACATAATACATGCTACTGAAATGATTGGTAACTCTCAAGAAAAATGGTTAGAATTATGTCTTACAGCTTAACCCAGGATAAATTCAATACCAGATGAGTTTAATGTAAAAAAATAAAGCTAAAACACTCATAAGAAAAAATAGATTAACATGCCTCAGCTATCAAGACAGGGAGTCACTTTCTAAATATAAAATCACAATGAAAGAAGCCAGAAGAGAAAAAACTTGGTAAATTCACTATCTAAAAATTAAAATTTCTGCATGTTAAACATATAAAAAACACTACATGCAAAATGAAAAGGTAAATGATAGGCCGGAAAAAAATTTGCAACAAATATAGTAAAGTATTAATATTCTTTATATAGAGAAAACTCTTGCAAATTAATAATAAAATCACTGAACACCACAATATAAAAATGGTATGAACAGGCAATTCATAAAAGAATGACTATAAATAGCAAATAAATCTTTGAAAATAATTCCACCTTATTAGCAAACAAGAAAAGCATAAAGTCATATTAAAATAGTTTTTGCCTACCTAATCAGCAAGGCTTTTTAACAGTAAAATTTCATGTGGGGCTGGCCCGGTGGCGCACTGCTACAGTGCACCACCTGGGG